GGGCCGACATGGAGAGCAGTGAGTGGCCCTGTCCCCGCCCGCGGCCACCCCGACCCCGGGCCCCACCCAGGCCTGGGGGCTACAGCATCCTGCCCCCCAGGCAGGGAACCCGGCCTGTTTGACCTGGTCATCATCAACGACAGAGTGGACGAGGCCTACCGGACCCTGGAGGAGGCGCTGTCCGAGGTGGGCGCGGGCGGGAAGGCCCCGGGGCGGCTGGGCGCGGCCGGACGCCAGCCACGTTCTGTCTCCTGCAGGAAATCAAGAGGGCGCAGGCGGCCGACGCCGTCTCCTGAGGACACGCAGGCTGTACCCGCCCCGCAGCGCCGGGGTGCTGATGCGCCGGGGGCTCCCCACTGCTGCGGCTCCTCTCTGTTGCCCTGGGTGGGTGCTGGGCCGACCCCTCAATAAAGACGCTCGAGGCTGACCTGTGACCTGTACCCCACCCCGCGGTGCGCCCGGGGAACTGCTTCGCTGGGCTCCGGGGCCCCTGCGGGGGTGCCCCCGGGCAAGCCGCTTCCTGTCCCGGGATGGAACTCCCCCCCGGCCCCCGGCCCCCGGAGTGGCCCGGCCAGGCTGCCCGCGGCGTGGAGTCCAGAGAGTGCAGCGGCCGAGGCTCCGCCCTGTCTTGCGCCGCAGCCTGGCCCCCACCTTTACTCATCGTTTACTTCACCCCACCCGGGGCTCCTCAGCCCAGGGGCGCTGCAGGCCGGCGTGGGTTGAGGCAGGGTCCAGGTTGTGCTCCGAGGGGCCAGGAGGATGCGTGTGGGGAACTTGGGAGCTCGGGTGGAAGTGGGGGGCGTGCTGGGCCCCCGGAGGCTGCAGGCAGGTGAGGCGCCCCTGCCGCCCGCAGCTCCTCCGGGCTGCTGGGGGGAGCCCCCGTCCTCCCAGGCCTGACTGGCCCCGGCTCCAGAGACAATCGGGGATTCAGACCCCGGGCCTGGGGGAACAATGGCTCCCTTGAAGGCCTCCCCCCATTGTGCTTGGTGGTGAGAGGTGGCCCTGGGTCAGGCCCTGGGCCCAGCCGGCACCACCCCCCGGAGGGCCAGTGTGCAGAGGCAGGTGGAGGCTCCAGGGACAGACACTTCCTGACCTGCAGCAGGTGGGCCTCGCGGGGCCGGGGGCGGGGGCGGCAGTGTCCACAGCGACCCAGGCCTGCCCGCCTGTGCCTGGCTGTCAGGGCAGCCGTGTCACGGAGCCAGCGCCAGCCCTGCGGGGCACGAGCTGGCCTGGCCACGGCATCAGGCTTGGGTCCAGGATGCCTCAGACCCGGGTGGGCGCGCCGGCGGGTGGGCGGGCGCGGCTGAGGTCTGGTGGGCCCGGCAGCCGGCTGGCAGGAGCGCGCAGCGGCTGGGGGGGCCAGGCCTGACCCCTGCACACCCCCACCTCATGCCCTGGGGGCCTGGCCCTGACACAGGCCTGCAGAGGCTGGGGGGTGGGGGTGCCCCTTGACGGGGGCCTGCAGGCCGTTGTCAGGACTGGGAGGCACCCCGTTCTGAGCCGGGGGCTCCCTGCAGGGCCCAGACCTTCCTGGGCTAGAGGGCGGGGTGCTGGTGTCCCCCGAGTTGGTGCCGGCAGGTGGTGGCAGTGGGAGGGGTGGGCGCGGTGAGGGGCCCCCTCCCTGCGGGGCTGGCGGTGGGCAGATGGGCCCCAGCGGGGGCAGCCGGGAGACAGTGGCGCATGTTGTCCAGGGCCTGGCCCGCGCAAGGCACCCCGCCAGGGTCCCAGGGCCAGGAACCTGCTGGTCCGGAGTGGGGTGGGAGTGACCCCGCTGGCCCAGGAGCCGCCCCACGCCGGGCTCCCTGCAACCAACCCAGCTGCCGCCCCGACTGGCCTTGTCCAGGCCAGGGGATCCTACAGCTGGTCCTGACCACTTGCCCGCTGCAGCTTGGGTATCCCTGTGAGCAGACCCCTGGGGGGCCGCAGTGCCCCCTTCCCACCGTGGCTGGGGCTGTGCCCCGCACCCCACTGCGGGGTCCTCTCCTGCTGAGTCCTGCGGGCTCAGGGGCTGTGCTGGTCCCGGGCAGACGTGGCGGGGCGGGCGCTGACCCAGGCCCCCGCTGGCCCGTGCACCAGGCCGCCCTGCACCTCGGGCCCCTGGGCTGCGTGGAGGGCCCCGGAGCCCGGCTTGGGGGCGGCCCCGGCCCGCACACCTCCGCACCCTCCTGGGCTGGCGCCACCCGGGCCCCGGCGGGGCAGCTCAGACGTGTGTCCACACCTGCCGCCGCCAGCTCAGACCCGTCTCCAGGCCGGCTGACCGGGCCAAGCTGAGGCCTCCACTCCCGCCTGGGGCCGGGCCTGGCGGGGGCTGCCCATGGGCATCCCTGCGCCAGTGTCCGGGTGCCGGCTAGGGCTGTGTCCGGAGAGCCTGTGCAGGGGCCGGGCAGGCCCAGCTGGGCGCCGGCCCCCCGCGTGGGCCTCAGCTCTGGGGGCCGCCGGATACCGGCCTCCTGGGCCTGCGCAAGCTGACCGCCCCCTGCGGGTCTCGGGGGCCGCTGTCCAGTCAGCAGGGGGTGGGCGGGGCGCAGGTGGGGAGGGCGCCAGGAGCCGCCAGCGCCACACACTTGAGGAAGTGGGGTCACTTCCCGGGCCCCTGCTGCCTCTCCCCTCTGCACGCCACCCACCTCCCGCTCCTGTCGCCACCCAGGGGCCAGCCAGGGGCCTGTGTGCCGCCCGGCATGGGCCAGGCGTGGGGGCGGGGCGGTGGGGGGCTCTGGCCCCACAGCGGGCCAGCTGGGGTGATGCTCTGGTGAGCGGGGTGCCCTGCGGGCCAGTCAGGGAGCCCGGCGCTGGCACAGGGGAGGCCGCGGTCCGCGGCGAGTCCCAGGCCCGAGGGCGCAGCCCGGCGCGTGCCAGAGGAGGCCGTGCCAGTATCCGGGCGCCCGCCGGCCACCTCTGGTCCCGAGGGGGCGGGGCCTCTCCGCGCGCTGGGGCGGGGCCCTGAGCTGGCTGTCGCGCAGGTCGCACCCTCCGCCCCTATGACCAACATGAGCTGGAGCTTCCTGACGCGGCTGCTGGAGGAGATCCACCACCACTCCACGTTCGTGGGCAAGGTGTGGCTCACGGTGCTCGTGGTCTTCCGCATCGTGCTCACCGCCGTGGGCGGCGACGCCATCTACTCGGACGAGCAGACCAAGTTCACGTGCAACACGCGGCAGCCGGGCTGCGACAACGTCTGCTACGACGCCTTCGCGCCCCTGTCCCACGTGCGCTTCTGGGTCTTCCAGATCGTGGTCATCTCCACGCCGTCCGTCATGTACCTGGGCTACGCCGTGCACCGCCTGGCCCGCGCCTCCCAGGACGAGCGCCGCC